CCTGCAGTGTTTGCTGTTAATTACAGCCCTATCTGAGCTGATTTGCAGGCTCCTGGGTACAGAGAGGTGTCACTGATTTTAACCGGAGCTCTTGTGCTGGTGATTCTGTAAATAAGAGAGCTCCCTGCCAATGCCATAAAGATGCAAGCAGGTAAGCATTCCCACCAAAGTACACCCAAGGGTTTGCATGCTCAGAGCACTAAACATGCCCAGAGCACTAAACATGCCCATGGATCAGTGCAGAATAAAGAATCTCGAGCTGAAATAATTGCAGCTGCACTCAACGCTCAAACGTTGCACTCAGACAGCACAAAGCACATGGAGAAGACATGGAAACTAGGAGTGAAATCCCTTTGTATCTACTATCTAATTACAACTACCTCAATATAAATTGGTCTTTCTAGCTTGCTCTCTGGATGATATTGCTCAAGCACTCACCCAGGGCAGCTGCTGTGCAGTGTGCAATCATGAAGCCAGAGTTCAGACCTCCTTCAGTGACTAAAAATGCAGGCAGTTCGCTGAGCGAGGGGTTGCAGAGCCTCTCAATTCTTCTTTCACTAATTGCAGCGAGTTCGTGCACACCGATTGCCAAATAGTCTAGAGCCTATAAAAGAACTCGTTAAACCAGATGACAGAAACCAACCAACCAAACAAAAAACTAAATTTTTTTTTTTCTTTCTCCAAATGCTTCATTACCTTTGCAGGATATTCACCATGAAAATTTCCTCCAGAAATGGTCTCTGCTCTTTCAGCAAACACCATCTTTAAGGAGAAGTTAAGGTATAAACATGAGTGAAATACAGTTTACATGGCAGATATCTGTCAGTAATCAGAATATCTTAACTGAAGGAATGTTTGTGCTAATAGGCTTTTATTTCCAAGCACATTATATTACATGTTCACTTTCCAGAAAATGAAGACCCAATCTCAGTTCTCCTGTTTTTTCAAATCGACTACATAAAATGAGGGAGTGGGGAGGGGTGCAAACACACACATGAGTTTAGATCCTAGCACAGTTTCTCAGTTCCTTCGTAGATTCTCTCCATGACAGACACAGATTACAAGCAGTAAACGTTTATCAGCTATGGATGTGATGTTATGCAGAGCATCATTACTCTGCTGAGGGGAATCCAGCCTTGCTCAGCGCCAACGCAAGAACTGTGCACAGAGTTACCAGGCTGAGTCATGATGAGGTTTACCAGCCACACGCATTTTGCCTGCCTTCCCTGACTGAGTGCAAATCGTATCTGTAGTGCAGGTTTCACTCATGCTGCACCAAGAGATGTTTCATACAACAAGTCACCATCTGTCTACATCTATTTGGTTGTCAAGTCCCATCTAGCTACACATTCAGTATAAGTGTATAGAATCTCATCTAGGAAACATTTAACATGCACTAAACTGCATGCACACATGGCTTCCTTGCCCAGACACATGCTTGCATGCACCAATGCAGACATGGAGAACGGAAGAGAGGTTGCAGTAGCAACAAATGGTAGTTACTGACTGAAGCCAGCTATGACTTTTTTGCCTCCTATGCATTTAATCATATAGAAGAAAAAGATAAAAAAGGCCAAGCAAAATTTTACATAGAAATAAAGTCATCAAAAAGATACAGGGTTGTCCGTGGCACTATTGATTTCAGTCGTCATTATGTCCTTCACAAAAGCAATTGTATCATTTACAACTCCGTGGACCTAGAACAAAACACATAAGCACCTGAGCTTAGTATCTACACTTAGTTCATCTTCAGTAGGCTGATTGAGCTGCAGGCACCCTCTTTCCCATCATTCCAGTCTCTACATCTGCATATGAAGATGGTCTTGGATTTGCTCTTAAAATCAGGAGCATCTCTGTGGGACACTGCCCATCTTAGACATGCGAAAGACTACATTTACTATTATTATGGCAGTATTGCTAAAAAGGTAATCCAAACATATTGTTCTTTACTTGTTTGGGTTGGTTTACCCTAAATGGAAGATAAGGTACTTATTCAGTGGCAGAAGTAGCCTTACAAAGAAATCAAAGAAATCAAAACTTCTCATTAATTAACTTCCATTAATTCCTCGGATTTAATAGCTTTGCTTATGTTAAAACTCATAGGATTGAGTTCAGTATGTTTGAGATACTACACTCTGGCTGCTCTGGAAACACCTTTCCCCAGCTCATGGTCTTAGCATCAATGCAGAAGAAATGCCTTACAAAGCCTGCAAGTAGGAAACCAGCATCTTTCCCCTGCTTCCAATGCTTGGCCTCTTCCAGATCTGAACGCAGCTTTGTCAGATGCTGCCTGATGGGTGCATGCATGGGATCAAGGAATTACATGTCTCCATGTCTCCATTAATACTAACTTGAAGTGAGGGAGAAGCAAAATAAAACCACTTCTTCTAACGGAGTCAGCACATAATCAATATTTCTGAGTAGGTAACTTCACCATCATTTATTTATTGCTATGAAAGGAAAAAAAAAAAGCCAGTTTTTACCTGAGGGCAGCAGCGCATTGTGTATGCATCCTGAACTCGGTCACAGAATCTGTGGCTCTCTAGAAGGAACAAGGGAGGAAAAAACCAAATATTCCTCACATAAAAGCATACAGGCTACTGTCGAAGGAGCCAGCCCATTCTGGGAACCTGAGAGGGTGAAGGTTAAGATTGTTCACCTGCTATTTCTGATGGATGATGGTCAGAATCCAGAAGGGACCTGAATCGAAACGCTACTTCAGCCTGCCCTCGATGTGGGCGCACTGTGTGGATATCTAGTAAAACAAGTTATACTGTTAGGTTTCACCTCTCATGTCAACAGCTGTCAAGCAAACAGACAGGAAAGGCCCAGTACCCACCACTGTCAAAGGCCCTTGTTGTACCCTTCAAGACTTCCAGTGTAAGGGCAGCGATTATGTCAGCTTGTCTCGCTATAGCACCGGCTCTTTCAACTGCTTCGCATCCCAGTGAGGTGATCATTTGTGTCCCGTTGATGAGAGCCAGACCCTTCAAAGAGAGAGCAGACATTAAGCAAATTCATTGCAGCTATTCCACGTGCTGTGATAATTCCTCATCTCTGTGGTAATTCTCCTTCTCATATGAGTGAGCTAAAGACCTTTGCTCAGCTTGCTGGATAGCTCTGAAATCATAAATTGTCAATGTTCTTGACCTTAATAAGTCACTACAGACACTCTTGGAGATCCAGTAGTTCCAAGCAAGAGGTTTTTTTCAGGTTATTTCAAGCCTCAGAAAAAGTGTGGGAAATATTTATTCTTTTCCAGTCCTTTGGAAGTGGAATGCTATTTTTATTAACTTCTTCTTAAGATATTAGTTAAAATCAAAGAAGTAATGAGTATGGGGAGTACAAAACCAAATCAAAATGAGGAAGTGGAGAATTAAAACAGCATTAGAAGTTACAACTGCTTCAAAAGATTTGTTGAGTTCAGTTAAAACTAGCTTCAGGTTTGTTCTAAACAAACATGAGGCCCATGAGAACCTTCCATTTGCCTTTAGGAGAGACTGGATTTGGCTTCTTGCTCCTGGTGCTGTTTTACAGCTACGAAGACCTCTCATCAGAGACCTCCACAAATCTGTTGTGTTCCCACATAAACTTTAATACTTAGAGTGAGATTTATCTCACTTAGTTTTAATTATCTGGAAGTCAGACATCTGGTTCAAGTCAGTCACCTGAGCTCCTGTTATGGTCAAAAGGCAGATAGGTACCTTGAGAGGGTTTCTTAGACAGCCATTTCAGGAAGATGTAAAGTGTTTTCTGAAGATTCTGATGGCTTTCCACTGACCACAGAGCCAATCTAAACATCAAGCTTGGGTATGACATTTCAAGTCAAGTAAGGTGACACTAGGAGAGGTGAATCACACTCCTGATAATACTTCATTAATATCATTCTGGAGCTTGATTTAAAATGGCTGTTAATTCATTTCGGGCTCAAATTGTTAAGTATAAAGCAACTAGTGATTTACTATGCTTGTTTTTCATCAGCTGGCATCATTATACTTTATTACCTCTTTTGGTTTCAAGGTAATTGGTCTCAGACCATGGGCTTCCAGGACCTGTGAAGGAGTTTAATGACAAGGTAATTAATGAAAAATGTTTTTCGGTCATTCAGCCACCAAAACTTTTACATCTTAAATGTTTCCATAAATAAAAACATTAACAAATTCCTTAAGTGAAGAGAGAAAAAGAGCTTTATATCACAAAAATGGAAAACATTTTTTTTCTGCTGGGCTAAATAAAGGACAGCATTTTTGGACTTCCAAACCAGCACTTCACTTCCCAGTGCCAGTAAAAGAAGGTAGGAGGAGCACTGAAGTGAGACACTGTCTCAGCCCTTTAACATCTACCAGGTGTTAGCTGATAGGAGAGAGTAATAGGAGAGAAGGCTGGAAACATCTTGGGAAGGCAGTTCTGCCTACGTCCTTCCTCAGAGCAGGTTTGGCTTGGCATAAGCTATTCCTTCATAGATGATTCCCTAACCCTTTCTATAGAAAATCTCCAATGACAGGAAGAATCCTACTCAGTTTATTCTATACATATCTATTCCATAGGGCAAGCACTTTTCTGGGAAACAGAGGAAAAGTATAACCTTGATTCTGACTGGAGTCCTCTCAACCTTTCTAACTGAAGAGGTAACACATCTTAGAGGTATGCAACTGTAACTTCTGGTCCTCAAAGTCCACAACACACTGGCCTACTTCTTCCCTGCTCCTCTCCCTGTGTAGTTCTCAGTACTTCTCCAGTGTATAGTGATGGTACAGCTATGAATCCATGAATAGATCAGGTGTTCAAATATTCATGCAGTGATAGGTGTAGCAGAACAAGCTACCATGAAAGACTGTGGAGGGGCCAGACTTGGAGATATTCAACAGTAGATCAATCTGCTGATGTATTAGTGACAGCATAACAATTAATTAAAAATTAATTTTAAAGCTCCCATCTTGTAAAGAAGGATGCTATAAAGGTTCCTTGTAACTGTAGGTAATCTATCAAAAATGAAATGTCCAAACCTGTGTGTTCATTTAAAGCCATTATAAAATCAGTAGAAATTTTACTGATAAGTTCCTGCCTCCAATTAATCTCCAGTTACTCTCAGCCTTTGAAGTTTTGAATTTGAGAGATGATCCTGGGTTTATTGAAAGCGTGTTGATGTTTATGGAGCAGAAGATGTAGGAACAGTTCTTTCAAAGTTGATACCACATCTTGTCCTCCTCTCCAGGTCCTAACTGATGTCACTGCAGTATCTCGTATTGCAATACTATGGCATGTTATTTCTTTAGGACTTAATAACATGCTGCATATTCACATCTGCTCCAGTGACATGTGGGTCAGTTATTCCATTCTCATGGATCCACCTTCCTCAAGGCAGAGGATGAGTTGATAAAGGCAACCTAATCCCAATTCAAACTGATGTGAAAAAATGCAAAGACTTTTACCTGTTACTAATCTAAGCAAAAGCTCTCTTTCTCTCAAAGCTACCTGCAATTTGGCAAATGAGCCAGCAAGCAGGGGAGGAAAAAAACCAAAGCAATCAGCTGCACAAGTCTTACATATTTAGCATCAGCCCAGCCACTCTTTGGCGACCACATTTTTCCCTCTCCAATTAATCCCAGAGCAAGGTGAGAGAGGGGGGCCAAGTCCCCGCTGGCTCCAACTGTCCCTTTCTCAGGGATATAAGGAAGGCAGGATGCTAGAAAGAAAACAAAAATGACTCCTGTTAGAGCTTCTCCTCAATACATTCCTTGGAAAACAGAGAAGCCAGCACATGAGTGTGGTCACAGTGACGTCGTGCAGTCATAGTCAACGGCACCAACAGGACTCTCGTTGCAGACTGGGATTTGCCCCTGCTTGCAGGCTAGCTGTGGTTTGAAAAGAAATCACCTCCCTTCTGCATTTAGTTTCAGAGTAGAGGGACCACAGCCCAGGGTGATTCTATCTATAGCCACACAGTCAGGCAGGTAGAACACACTCCTCTCAGCTCTCCATCACAGGGTGACCACCTGGTGTGGACAAATCTACCTCTTCATTTCTCACTCCACTAAGCATTGGGTTACTCCTAGAAATCCTCTTTGGGCCCTCTTTCCTCCATCCTAGTCCTCTGAGCACTGAATGGGTGGAAACGAAGAAGCCCAGGGAACTGTGGAAAAAGCAGGAAAGGGACAGGCCTGTTTCTCTTCTTTTGCAGAGCTAACCACTGAACCGCAGCTCCTTCACCTATTGCGGGAGGAGGAGGAGGGTGTAAAAGGACAGCTCAAAGCCCACATTCTTTGGGCCTTGCATATATCAACATGGCTTTTCTCTCTCATGAGTGGTCTATAGTCTCAGAGCAATCTTCCAATCTAGGGTTTAGGAAGAAAGAGAATTGAATCTAACACTGTAACATAGAGAGAAGGTGCTCTTTGCTTGTCACCGCTGCAGTGGCATGCCTCAGCAGAGGGACCATCAATGGACATCAGCTAACGAACAGCGCAGCCAACCCTTTGGTTTCCCTGCTGCAGCATCTGCGAGGCTATCCAGCTTTAACTGCCTTGACAGCCATGACCACGTGAGCTGCTGGCCAGCCATCTGCATCTGCGTGGCTGCCTTGTAGCTCTTGCTTACAAACTCTTGTGTAGGTCTCAGGAGGTCTACTCACAAAAACAGGTGCTGCTCAAGCGGGTCTGCTTGACAAATACCAACACGTGGTTTTCTACATGGTAATAGCCTCCCCCCTAAAATTCTGGCATCCCCAAAGATGGTGGCACATACATCAGCACGTAGCCAACAGGACAAAAGTTAGAGACTTGTGCCTTTGTAGAAGAGCTCGCCTAGAGTCAGAGTCATGCTTTTAGTCAAATTTAGTCTTGAACGAACTACCTGACCTCTCAGAGGCTCGTTTCCCAAACTTCTGCCTGTTGCATCCCTTTCTCTCAGCCTTTTCTGTCAGTTATTCTCACACCCCAAGTTCTTCAACATAGGAACAGTCTCCAGTTGTGAGCTTGTACAGCCAAGCTCTGATCCCGATCTCTCACAACTACCAATTGGAAAGACCAACATCTGTAGCATGACCCTTTGAGCTACACCCTTTAATGAAACTGTTAAAAGAAAAAAAAAAAACAACAGAAAAAAAAATAATCAGAAAGAGGGATTTTGTTTAAACATCTTTTTACCATTAAATGCTTCAATAACTTGCTGGAGCGTTCCTAGGGATATTCCACTGTATCCTTTTGCTAGGACATTGATCCTCAGCGCCAACAGCATGCGAGATCTCTCTGGGCTCAAAGGTTTCCCCACACCTGAAACAGTGACCTTCCCAGTTACTGACCCACTACCAACAGTGGCAGAAAAGGGAAAACAAGCGATTTCTTATTACCTGCAGAATGTGAACGAACCAAGTTCACTTGAAGCTCTCTACGGGGGAAAAAAGAAAAAAGTAAAAACCCAAATAAGTCAAGTTTAATTTTGCACAAAGCAAAGGGAAATACTTAAGCAACCCTCTCACTACAGAGTATAAACATACAGGGTCGAACTGCTCCCTCCTCTTCCTTTCCTGAAAGGAAAGGATGGAGAAAGCCGCACATATAACTTACTTCAGCTTACTGTTTGGGATGACAGTCCTGGCAAACTTCCCAAACCCAGTGGTGATTCCATAAACAACTGCAAGAAACGTACACTGCTGGTTAAGGAGGGAATTCAACAAAGTTTTTTAAACAATAAATAGAGGTAAAAATATTTACCTGTCTGTTCCTTTATAATCCTTTCAATCACTTCTCGTGATTGATTGACTTTAGCTTCAGCTGCAGGTGTGAGCTGAAACATGAGTAGTTTAAATATTAGTTTCTCTGTCATTATTTATATTTTAATTGTAGAAAGATAAACGTGTAATTTTTAGCCACATTTTTTGAGAATCTTTACCTTTATCTTGTAGAGCCCCTTTCCTAAATCGACCAAGTCCTCCGTTGTTAAGCTGTTGCCATCTAAAGAAATATACTACATCAAAGAACCACCTTTTAGTTTGGGATACATCTATGTATAAAGTTGCTTAATAATCAGAATAAAAAACCCCAACCAAGCAAAACTCAGCAGTGACAGGAAGATCAATCACACTCATTCGTAAGACAGGAGCTCACTAACAAAAACGTAAGAAGCACATTGTATTAGATTCCTAGACCCAGCCAATCTGACCGCCCCTGCTCTTGCGAATGCTGCAGCGGCTCAACTCTCAGCACGTTCTGGTGAACAGCAGGATTTGTCACTGAGTGGTAAAACCCTTGGTGATGCCTACCTGTTCTGGTTCTCGGTATTTGCTGTATCTGAAAGTTCTGTCAAGGAAAATAAAGGGCAAACAGGTTTTCATGGATTGTGACCATTCAATTACAGCTGGCAACGTGTTTTAAAAATGAAGGAACCCTAAACGAGCAGAGAAATCTAGGACATTATACATCTGGAATTATAAACAAGTTCACAAAATACTCAAAAAAGGATACAAATGAACTCCTTCCGGCTGAGATGGTATGAAATCTGGAGACATTATATCTCCTTCTATAACTAGAAGAAATATGCAAATAAACACAAACAGGATTAAATTGTATTCTACATGTAAACGAATTTGTTATTCATTGCAATACATACCTGTAAGAATTCTAATTTGCAGTTATCAGCCCCAAATATATTCGTATGCTTCTAGGAAAATCCTAAGGGACTACATAGTTTATTTAAAGTACTCTAAAGGCAGAAGAGCTGCCCAACCCTTGGACACGTTTCCATGTTCCATATCCCAAACAATCATATAGCATATATATCACATTATATACAAATTATGTAGATAGAATGCTGTAGCTTCTATACCTTATATAGTTCTACATTTGAAAACCAAGAGTGTGTTTTGTTATTTTTCCATAAAAATCGCAGGCACTATCTCAGAGTCAAATTTAGATAAACTAAACAGCAATTTGCTGACCCAGATGCCAACGTGGTCACTCTGCGATGCGTGGCTACAGGTTTTGCTTACCAACTTCAACAAATTCATTGTCCTCCAGAGCATCCTCCACTCTATCATCAAGATCCAGCAAGCCAAGTCCCTTGCACCTTCGAATGTAAAATTTTACTTCTTCCACCGAGGCAAATCCCCCGTTGTCAGGTTTGTTTTTCATGTACCGTCTCACAGCTTCCTTTCCCAGCCACCCGACTGTGTTCGTGCAGTTCAGGCACGGCACTGCCAGCCATTCTCCTCGGACATGCACTGTGTATCTCGGCATGCTTTCTCTCCAAAAGCGTCCCTTGACCAAGAAGGGCTGCAGCGTGCAGCAGCCTTACGTTTACCACGTGAGGGCCACAAGAGCAGTGTCTAGCTGGAGTCCAGTGTCACAATCAGATAGAGGCAAAAATCCACCCCCAAAATCCCCACCTTTGTAAATAAGCGAGATCAATGTATCCAGCTGACTTCATCCAATCAAACCAAACCCAGAGAGCACACCCTTTTCATGGAAAACCAAAAAAAAAAAAAAGAAAAAATCACTCCTATTACCACAGGAATTTTTTTCCAAAGATAACATCCAGAATACAGAAATGAAAATCTAAGAGCTGAAGTTTATGTAGCAAGAATCGATAAATAAATCAGAATAAACTGGAATGCAATTGTTCTAAAAATGTAAAAATTTAACAAAAGTTACCAGAGTTGGCACCTGGCAATAGATCACACTAATGAAAACCTCCGTGAGGGATAGGGCTGGAAGAGAGTGATCTCATTATGGGTTGGTCATGGCTGCTGAGACAGAAAGGAGACTGGATTATACCCACATGTGTCTATCCAGGGCAGGATGAGAGCAGGCAGTGTAGGAAGCAAGCCTGCTTTGCTCAGTCCTGTGCTGAAGTTGGAGAACATAATTTTGTGTTGTAGGTGAGGAAAAAACTCATGAATTTCCATTACCCTTTCGCTTATGGTCTAGAAGATGTTGCTAGATCAGGTAGCACAAATATTAGGCCGCACCTGCATGCTGCCAAGCCTGGTGCTGCTCTGTCTTTTGCAGGCAGATGCAAAGAGCAAAAGATGTGGAGAAATAGCTGTTAAGATGGTGCCAAAATAAAGTTTAGCAATGATCACCTTGACACAGAAGCTGGAAATACCTTTATCTTTAAAGATAGAACAGTAAAAACACTCGTAGTCCATGCTACCTACAAAGTGTTCTCAGACAAAGCGACTATGATAAAGTGTACTTATTTGGGGGGAATTATTACAGGGAATTTTAAGTTGAGAGCCATCAGTGGAAGTCTCTACATGGGAGACGCTGCCCCAGCAGTGCAGGACAACACTAGCAAAAGCCATGACTGCCACTACTTTTTTTTCCCTAGCTCTGACAGCAAGAAATCAAGATTAGCTGGCAGCATGAACTCCAAGCACTGAATCACAATACAGGATATATGGGATTTTACAAAAAAATGTTACTTCAAAAATAGTAACATAAAACATTTCTAAAACAAAAAAAAACATGGAGCTTTCATTGCAATCTGATAGCTTAAGCCTAAACCTGTTATCACCAGATACATCCTTTTCCTACCAGAGCCTTGCCCAAGAGAATCTCCATTTATTCAGGTGATGCTGTAGCAGAAGCCTGATTAGATTTTGGGAGTAAAGTAAAGTAACTGTGTAAATTTCTAACCTGGAATATAGAAACGTTCTTTTCAGTGAGCTTTCCAGCAGAAGTTATCACTTATTCAGAGGAGCAGCAAGAAGAGAATGAATGGCTCATTAGGTCCTTAACACAAGAATCATAGAATGGTTAGGGTTGGAAGGGACCTCAAAGATTATCTAGTTCCAACCTCCCTGCCACGGGCAGGGACTCCTTCCACTAGATCAGGTTGCTCAAAGCCCCATCCAACCTGGCCTTGAACACCTCCAGGGATGGGGCATCCTTGACTTCTCTGGGCAACTTGTTCCAGTGCCTCACGACCCTCAGAGTGAAAAATTTCTTCCTTAGATCTAATCTAAATCTGCCCTCTTTCAGTTTAAATCCATTTCCCCTTGTCTTATCACTATATACCCTTGTAAAAAACCCCTCTCCAGTATTCTTGTGGGTGCTCTTTACACACAAGGAATTACAATATTTTGGTTCCAAAAAGGCAGTATTTTATTGTGTTTCTTAAAATCTGAGTGTCACAACATTCATAGAAAGAATTTTAAAGCTGAATGTTTAGCCTCTCCACTCCATGTGCTCGTATTAAATCCAAACCTTTTGCCATGACCTATATGTGGTACCTTCCTCCTCTAAAACAGCACACTTTTTTGTTTTGTTTTGTTTTTTCTTACTCCTTGATACGAGATTAGCCCTATGTCAACAGATTTAATTTATACTAACTGATCGTTTCCAGTTCTTCTCAAATTCACTTCAAAAAACCACCCACAGATGGCAGCATCCCCAACAGCGTCACCTACACCGTTGACTTGAAGCGCTGTAACAATCGTAAATAAACAGCCTTTCCACTGTTTTTAACTTTATCTCAAGTTGTCAGATTAGTGTAAGGGGTAATGCCCAGAACTGGTTAAAAAATGCGAATATTACAAAATTCAAATAGGAATAACTAAGAAAACATATCAGATTGTGATTAACATGAAGAATTGACTAATGTAACAAAGCTGTGACAAATAGGGCTAGACAGAAATTCTGCTCTAACACCTGAATGCTCTGATCCGTTTAGGTCTTCATAGTCCTCTCAGACACATCATAAAAATTTCTCCCACAACAAAGAAGAGTAAATAAAACAAAATTACTATTTCAAAACTTTTCATACAGATCAATACACAGACAAGTAGACCATGAAAAGATTTATTTTTTAGTCTCAAGATATTTGAAGTTTCGACCACATTGCTAGAAAAAGAAAGCTTTGCACAAAGAGCCATACCATCCACCAATTAATTTTCCATGTTTTTCAATTCCATGACTGACAAATGACTACATCTCAGAACAGCTTTTCTGTGTGTTCTAAAAATTGCTTATAACAAAACCATTCTCCCAGTTCCAGAGATTTAGCAATTTTGCTGTTTTACTTGGAAGTGCAAAATAGAAAGTACTGAACTTGATTTGGAAAATTCATTTTGAGCTACATTAGTACCAAAGCAGCAGGGCATTTTATGGCATAATCGAGTACGTATACCAGTTTGTAGAACCAGTCTCTTCTTTCAGCAACAAAAAAAATTCAAAGGAATCAGTAAATTTGTCACTGATCTTGTTTCAAGTCTTTGCCCACAAGCATTGACGTGACTGGGTGCATAGAGGCTCTATGCTCCAGAAATGTCTTGACAGCCAGATCTCTACTCTTGTCAAAACCATAAAGCTCCCTGTAAAAGAAAAAGGAAAAAAAGGCACCATTACAAAAATCTACGAAAATTGTACAATGGGGATTTTCTCAAGGTTTTACTTTTCCCTTGAAAGCCTCACATTAAGGCACATACTGGGAGACTAAGCTTTCTTCTACTAAAAAAAGTCAGCAAGTGGAAAGCAACTCTAAAGATAAGCTTGTTCACAGTATACAGGAAGTCCTGTATCATGTCACTTCAAAGCATAACATAAATAAATGTACAATGTCAAGTATTATACATTTCCATTATACTAAAAATGCCAACAACATGAGCTCCTACAATTTGGAGATTACTTTTACCTGAACAAGGGTCGAGTAAACTTCATCCTGCCCTGATCTGTTGCCATTTTTAGAGCCAGAGGAATAGCTTCTTCCCACTTGGACCTGATGCAGAGGCACAGCCATCTGGGCCAGAGTGAAAGAGGAAAAAAAAAGAAAATTTACATTTTTATATTCATTTGCACTGGTCAGTTTTCTTATGATTCTGTTGCCATAAACACTCTGAGCAGTCCTGTGTCATCATGGGAATGAGATTCTAGCTAAGTTCAACAAAATATTTAGTGTCTGACTAGCACGTTACAAAAGTGGACTTTTCTATGAAATAGGAAAAAAATTGCTATAAAGTTTCTCCAAAACAGTCTGATCATTTTCTGCAGCTATGTATTTCTTTTGTATTACAGCAGTGTCCAGTTGCATCACTCAGAATTAGAGCTGAATTATATAGCATTTGTCATATTTGACCAAATGATTAAAAATAACCAAAAAACCCAAACAAAATGTCACCAGCAACTGGCATGTGCTTGTTCTGTTTTAAAAATAAGAAGAAATTGATCTTGTTACAAGAAGTAGAAACTATACTGTATGTTTAAAATACTTACTTTTGTTAATAAGAAACAAAGAACTCTAAGTTAGTTAAGGCAGAATAGCCGTCACTATAGGAAATGGTCCAAGTACATAACAGTAGCAAAATACGCAATACTTGAAGGTATTTGCAAAGATTACTTATGTTCTCAATAATACCTTTTTCAAACAGCTGACGTGTGTAAATACAATGTGTAAATATGAAATAGAAGAAGTTAGGATGGCACTAGAATCAAGCCATTTAGCTAGAAGTCATTTTCTCCTTCTTTAGAAACTTCCTTTAATATTTACTGGTTTTGATGAGACAAAAGCTTTGTTACAGTGAGCATTAAAACGTGACAAAAAAAGTGTCCAATTTGTATTGAAAAAACCCACAACACTGGCACATCAGCAGAACTGATTAGGTAAGTCCAGAAGATCTGTTCCTGATTAAATACTGGAAAGATTTTTCAGACATGTCTGAGTCACAGAAAGGCTCACTACTGTATTATCCAATACCACCCCCAAAATAAGCTATCAAGTCATCAGGTTCCTCTGATAGCGTGACAGATGAAAATAACGCAGAGCTAATCCACTGCTCACTTCCAGGTCTTCTACTAGACTATATTCACCCAGTTCGTAAGTAACAGAATACCACTCTGGTAAGCATGTTTATGCACGTGCTTACAAAAAACCCACAACGACAACAAATCCCAAAAACCCCTGCACTAGTTCTGTACAACAGTATGTCTCAGACTACTTATGAAGCAGGACACGACATTTTATGAAAGCATTTAAGACTAGAACAATGTCCATACTAGAACAAACCTGAATCTTATTTCAGAATTGTGTAACGCATTGAAGTTATATACTTGCTGCATTCGTTGGACATGTGACACTGGAAGAGGAGCCTGAAAAAGGAAATTCCATAGTCAGAATAAGCCAGAGCCACTTCAAGCCACATACCTCAAAAATAAATACGTTCATTCAAGAAAATTGATGCTACAAAGGAATTAAAAGCTTACCATGAAAATATTTGTAGCTGCTCCTTTCAAGCAACATTATTCAAGG